AGAGAGAGAGAGAGAGAGAGAGAGAGAGAGAGAGAGAGAGAGAGATGGGGGAGTCGATGAGGATTAGGAGGAAGTCTTTGACTGGGGGGGAGGTTAAAGGTTCATCATGCTTTTTTGTCTTTTTCTTCTCTATTTTTTTCCGTATGTGTGTGTGAGAGAGAGAGATAGACGGGGGAAAGGAGGGTGAGGGGAAGCCGGTGAGGTGGTGAGTGGTATAGCCGCCCCAAGTGCCAGGATGTCTTTTGTAATTTGTCTTTTGTCTTTTGATTTTTTTGATTTTTTTTTTTTTGTGTGTGTGTGTGAGAGAGAGAAGGGGGCGGACTGTGCCAAGCTGTCCGTTATGTGACTCTGACACGTGCTACTTCATTTCTTCTTTGCGTTTTGCCTTCCCGGAAATGCTCCAAGATGCTCTCATGTCAATGCTACTCCCGACAAGTCCCCCACGCGAAGAGCAACTGCGAAGCAGATTGAATGCTGCTGATTGTTTCATCATTCATACAATGCAAAACCCCTGCTTCTTAACATCAGTGGCACTCCTATTGTTGTTGGAGGCGACTTCCAACTTCCCCGGGCCAATCATCAATGACATCATCCGAGCCCACCAAAGTGAGACTCGCCCACACACGCATGCACTTGCGCACATAGCGAAAAAACTCAACAAGTAAGCACGGGGCATGCATACATGCAAGATGGGTTGATCACAAACATATCCAGAGAACACAGCAAACAAAGTCTGAATCTTAATCTTTAGCTGCAAAAGCATCAACGGGACAATGGACAGGATTTTCTCAGAAAAGTGGAGTTCTTGCACATCACAAAACAAAAACAATGCTGCGAAGGTAATGGCTCCCCAAACAAAACACTCAAAGATAAAGGGGAAAAAAGGCTCGGCGGAATATGATAGGGGAGTTCCTTATGCTTTTTCTTTCTTTTGTGCTTTTTTTCCTTTTCTCTTTTTGCGGGCGAAGCCGCAACGGGTCATCTAGTAATGAAATAACACGACATCAAAAAACCCCTCGTACCACGTCCTACTTCGTACACCCTCCCCTCCTAAAAAAACGTGGCCATAACATACGAGATAGACAAGATTACGTAAAAATAAAAATAACCCCTTTCTACTAAAACAACTCTACATACAGAATTGAAAAAGAAAAAAAAACACAAGCTACCAGACCAATGACCATAATGAATGCATCCCCATCCCCCCATATCTACCCTACGCAAACCCCTTCTACATGATTATCGCCAGGCTACCCCTCATCTCCTATATGCAGCAGCTTCGTCGCCTGAGACTCATCCATATATAACCACTTGCACTTACAGTGCTACAAGCGCTCTCTGCTGCCCATGCTCATGCTCCGGGTTGCACTGGTATGCTATGCTCTCGCTGAACCCCTGCTCGCATGCTTCTAAGCACGTAATGCCTTCTCAGCAACACGATCCCACGCAACTGCTGTACCAGACACACTCCTGACTAGACAGTGCAATCCTAACTGCGCAATTGAAGGCGCGTCCTCGGTGCTACTTACGGTGATACGTGGCAGCTGATCTCTAGAGGACCCGATGGCTACCATCGAAGATACGTCGTCCTCTGCACAAGTGCTACGCACTCAGGTATGGTTCTACATACTCTTACCGCATTGTGTCTGCCTAACAAACACAATACCTATTAACTCCCTCCCTCCCCAAACCTTTCCACCACTACTAACACACATACTTAACCCCCTAACGGGAGCCAGAGGCTGTCCCTCTGATGAGCTGCTATGGGTGCTAAGCAGCGAAAAGCGCGCTCCAGGGCATGCACCCCCCCTATGGCTGTCTTCAACAGCCATCTCTAACATCAGCCTCCTGATATGGAGTTGATGACATAATCAAATTTTTTCTTCTCTCAACCCGGGTTGTGTTATGCCTGCTGCTAACTTGGCGCTATTTTACGATTGGACAGATGCATGGTCTGGTTCCCCATTGTATATGGGGTAGCCGTGTTCTACACACACACACACACACACACACACACACACACACACACACACACAGGTCCGGAGGGGAGCAGGAAGAGGCGGACACATAATTTGGTGGTTTTCCCGTTTATCTTCTTCCTTTGTTCAAAATACAATAGTTAGTCACGCTTGCTTGGCTGCTGTTTTGGGACTCATTGCAACCTGGGGGGTAGGAGTGTTTTGTCAGATTTTCTGATTCACCATGCACATATGCGCCTTGCAGGTAATTGATTTTCATCAGACGATTGAAGTGGATGGCATCCGTTTCTGGTGCTACACCGCGGGGCATGTTTTGGGAGCAGCGATGTTCATGGTGGATATTGCAGGAATCAGGGTCCTTTATACAGGTGACTACTCTCGGGAAGAGGACAGGCATCTGAAGGCTGCAGAGATGCCCCCGTTTACTCCGGATGTCTGCATCATCGAGTCCACATACGGCGTCCAGGTTCATCAAAACCGACAGGTTCGCGAACGCAGATTCACCGAAGTGATTTCGCAGACTGTTATGCAGGGGGGCAGAGTTCTCATACCAGCTTTTGCACTGGGAAGAGCACAGGAGCTGCTCCTGATTCTAGAGGAGTACTGGGAGACTCATCCCGAACTGTCGCACGTGCCTATCTTCTACGCTTCGCCGCTTGCCAAAAAATGCATGAATGTTTTCCAGACGTATATAAACTCCATGAACGACAAGATTCGTAGCCAGTATGCAATTTCAAACCCTTTTCGCTTCAAACACATTTCCAATCTTAAGAGCATTGAGCATTTCGATGATGTCGGTCCATCTGTGGTCATGGCTAGCCCAGGTATGTTGCAGAGTGGTCTTTCCCGACAGCTTTTTGACCGATGGTGCGAGGATAAGAAGAACGCGTGCATTATCCCGGGGTATTGTGTGGAAGGAACTTTGGCGAAGACAATTCTGCACGAGCCTAAGGAGGTTACAAAGATGAACGGACTTGTTGTGCCGTTGAATATGCGTGTCCATTACATCTCTTTCTCTGCTCATGCGGATTTCATTCAGACTAGCGAGTTTTTGAACGAGCTTCTGCCCCCAAACATTCTGCTGGTGCATGGAGAGGCTACAGAAATGGCGAGGCTGAAGGGGAAGCTCATCCAGCAGTTCGCAGAAAAGAACGTAAAGGTCTTGTCTCCGAAGAACACGCAGACCGTCGAGATGACCTTCAAGGGCGAGAAGACCGCCAAGGCAGTTGGAAGACTTGTTGAGAAGGCGCCGGAAGAAGGCAACCAAATAAGTGGGATGCTTGTGAAGAAGGGGTTTGTGTACCAGTTGCTTGCTCCGGAAGACCTCCATATCTACACGCAACTGTCGACGGGGATGGTGTTGCAGCGGCAGTCGGTGCCCTACAGAGGATCGTTCGACGTGCTGAGACACAGAGTTGAGATGATGTATGAGGGAGTTGAAGTGATCGTGAAAGGCGACTCGCCACGTTCGCTCAAGGTGCATGATGCTGTCACGATCATCCATGAAGGTTTCGATCACGTTGCTCTGCAGTGGGTGTCCGATCCTGTGAGCGACATGGTCGCCGACTCAATCGTAGCCCTGATTCTGCAGATAGACTCTCAAGCGCACAAGGCGATCGTGTCACCCAGAGCAAGGAGAAAAGCCGTCAAGGCTGTTGTCAGTTCTGAGGCAGATGAGATCAAGCGCGTTCACTCGTTGCTGATGTCTCTCTTCGGCGATGTGAAGCTAGATTTGGCAAAGCAAACGGTGACGGTAACCGTGGACGGGGTGGTTGCAGTTGTGAACCACAAAACAAAAGCCATAGACTGTTCAGAAGATGCTTTCAAGGAGCGTATTAAAGTTGCACTCAGACGAATGGAAACAGCCCTGTATCCCCTTGACTTTTAGTTGTTTTCGATTTTCACTTGTTTGTTCCTCTTCTGCTGATGATCTGAGAAGCGCTCTTTTTTGTTTGCTTTCCTGCTCTCCTCATCAATCTGCACTCTTCCTGAGTGTTGGCTGCTTATCAATCACAAGTTGTTGTGTCCTCTTATTATAAATGGTGTCGCTTTCTCTTTACCCTCCTTCAGGGCACAAATTGGAAACGCAAGCTGTCCGGCAAGAAATGGCGCAAAAAAATTTTAAAAATGTCTTGCTGGACCTCCGAGGGCGCTATGCTGAACTAGATCCTATCCTTTAAGGAATTGTGCCTTCATGCAGAGAACAATTGGTCTGTGTGGTATTTAGTTACGGGGGAGAGGAGGGGGGGTAAGGGGGGGCAAGGAGATGGAGAGTGCACTACACCATGCGTT